GAGTTTCATGAATTCTTTACTCTTATCCTTCATAGACTGACCACTCCCCTCAACTTTGTGATCATGAGATCAAGTAATTAATTTATATGAAAAGAATTATATGAAACTTTTCTCTTCCACATTATTTTAATGAAAAGAAATTGCTTTAACAAGGACTGATGATTTTCAATATTATACAAAAAAGATAAAAAAAAAAAACCCTAAATGTCTCCCACTATTCAATCACTTCTCTATTTGAATCTCATTCTATTCAGGCCCTCTATGGTTTGGATCATGGCCACCCACATTGGTGAAGGTGATTTGCTTCCTCAAATGACTGATTCAAATGCTAACCTCTCCAGAAATATCCTCACAGACACCCAGAAATAATGCTTAACCCAATTTCTGGTCATCCTGTGATCCATTCAAGTTGACACACAAGTTTATCACAAAAATTAAATCTTTTAATGTATGATGGAGCCATTCCGCCTTTAAGCTTATAGCCCGATAGAAAAGAAATCACATGCCCATACAATTTTATACATGAATATTTGTAGCAGTTGTGTTTGCAGTTACAAAATATAGAAATAATTCAATATGCATTAATCCATAAAAAAGTAAATTGTGGTATATACAAACAAAAACATACAATGCAGAAAAAATGAATTAATCATTGAAACATACAATAGTCTAAATAATTATGATTAGTGAAGAAAAGACAGGCCAAAAAAGGGTGTATACAATGTGATTTCATTTATAGGAAACATTTCAAATTGAAAACTAATTTATAGTGACAACAGATCAGAGATTTTCTAGGAGGGGAGTTTGGGGAAAGATGGAGAAGAAAATTCATAAAAGCCACATGGAAGTATTTGACGGTGATAGCTGTGTTCACATTTTTGTGACAGATTCACAAGTATTTCACATGAATTTATGAAATTGCATTTCACGGATACATACAGTTTATTGTTTGTTAATCATACTGCAAAAAAGCTTTTAAAAATTAGCATTAATCTATACTTCTTCCATACATTCTTCCAGATAAAGGGGAAATTTCTGCCCATAAGTTCAAGTTGAAGAATCATTGGCAAACAAGAAAAAAAATACCTTCTTCCAGAGTCAATTGGTCAATTGATCTCCCTTTGATGCTACAGATATGAGTTGAGGGATAGGGTTTAATATAATAGACATGGTTACCATTGTGACCTAAAGACCTTCCTTGTACTTCTGTCCTTCAGAACTAACTAAAATCTGAACTACCTTGTGTTACTACTACACATGTCCACATCAGTTCCATGATAGGCAACTCAGGCGGCACAGTTTCTTGGTACCCCTTGATAAAGTGTTCCATTTCTACCAGAGATCAATAATAATCTGGGAACCATGTTTTCATGAGATAATAGATATTTGCAGATATTTGTGTATATTCAATTATCTGTACATGTGTTTTCTGGAAAACATATACAAGCCTGATCTTTAGAAGGGCTCTCTTACAGAATGGCACTAGCCTATCCAGTGTTTCTGTAAACTGTGAATATTTTCTTTCCTTCTGGGAGTCTGAAATTTTGATGGAAAGTGTTTACATGCACAGTACTCAGTAAAACCCAGGGAATTGAGTCTCAACAGGGAAATATAGCACACATGTATTGATGCATACTGTTGATTAAAACAAAACAAAACAAAACAAAACAGGTTCTTTATGAGCCTACCAAGGGGTGTGAGAAAGCATAGGACTCCTATGCATGGATTTTTCCAGACCCCAACTGACTCCACCTCTACCTTGTCCCTTACTGGTCCACTGGCATATCCTTACTGTGGCATTATAATAGATCTTACCTGTGAGTACAAATATACACCGAATAGTATGAGTCCATGTTTTGAAGCATGAAACATGTGGGTGGTGTTGAGAATCCTGATGCAGCAAATCAATGATAGGGATCTCATGAACTCATCAAAGCCTCCCTATAGAATCAGTATCTGCCACAGACCCTTCATTCCTAGAATCAACATTTTCTTAGGTGAATCAAGCAGCCCAAATGGCACATAAGCTTGTAAGGCAGTCAGGGACAGTTTGAGAGTCTTCTCTTGCCTTGGACCCAAACAAAACTGACAGTCATAGACTATCAGTAAGGAATTTTAACTTCACAGCCAAATATATTTAAAATGTGTAGTTCTGAGAGATCCTGGGTGGCTTAGTTGGTTAAGCATCTCACTCTTGATTTTAGCTCAGGTCATGACCTCAGCGTCATGAGATCAAGCCCATTGTTGGGTTCCCTGCTGAGGTGGAGCCTGCTTAAGATTCTCTCTCTCCCTCTCCCTCTGCCTCACCCCAACTCATGTATGCACACTTTCTCTCTCTCTCTCTTTTTCTCTCTCACTCTCTCTCTCTCTCAAAAAAAAAAAAAGTAAAGTTCTAAGGAGACCACAAGAAAACTGCTTCAGCTTTCAGAAAACTCTCAAGCTCCCACTATCTCTTTCACTCATCCTGTACTAACAAAGTGAGTATTTTGCAAACGCTCACCAAGAAGCTGCTGGGAATCCCATGCCTGCAGAAGAGTCTGTCTGTAATTCCACACACAGAACAATGACCTCTCTTTTTTCTATACCTTCCAAATATCATGTGTTTCTTGTGTTGGCAAATTGTGACCTGGAACATGTAGAGAAGGAGATTCTGAGAGGTGAAGTCCCAGCTCATTTTCTGAAATGCAGCAGAAAACAGAGGAGTGTGGTATGAATAATGCCAAGTTGCAATAGATAATTCAGCAGTGATAAATAATAACGTTCAAATATACAGAGTTTTTTGGTTTGGTTTTATGTGAGTCTGATAATCCTTCTTGTAACCAAATTAATTATAAATTTTAAAAGTTTAAGCTTCAAGTGTGATTAAGATTTGCAAATACAACTGTTTATTAATAGTGAAAAATACAATAACTTAATGTTTTCCTTTTTCCAAAGTAAAAACTTAGGACAATCTCATCTATAATTAAGAAATATGTGAGTATTTCTCCATGCTAGTATTGGTTTACAGCATGCTGATTTTGCTAGATTACAAAAATAGAAGACTCCTACATAAGAAAAGGAGTAACTGAATTAGATGGCTTGAGACCAACATTAAAACAGAGATTCTTTCAGAATCGAGGTCCAGGAATGTGCATATTAAAGAAAAATTATTATTTCAACTGAGCCCTAGAAGGGAAGATATGTCTGCCTAGGTAGACAGAAAAATGTAATGCTTTGATAATTGTTCTGTTATTTTTTACATAATACTGTCCTAGTTACTATTCTAAAAAAAATGTTTTTCTACAGAACTTGAACGTAGGAGGTTGAGATTTTTTCAAGCTTTCTCCTCTGTCAGATGAAAAGAACAGCCATCCTATCAGCTGATACCATTAGCGCATGTTGAATTCAGCATCATTTTCCAAGAACATCCTCCTTGTTGTAAATAGGAGATAAGAATTCAATGGAAAAAAAGATCACAAAAGACAAAGCAAAACACATCCATTGAACCCAATTTTACTCTTTAATAAAAAAGTAAAGAACAACATTATCAAAATTACTTTAGCTAAGACACTTCGTTATCAAAATTCCTTCAGTTGGGATATTCAGTTATAGGTTATGTATTAAAGGCATAAACAGACTAAAGGTACTTATTTTTCCAGTTTTGGAACAACATGCATCTTTTCATTTTTTTTGATAAATTGTAGAGATCATGAGTCAATGGCTGAAACATGTTATATGAAGGAAGATATGGGGGATATTCTAGATGTGTTCAAGAAGGTATTCAAATGTGTTATTAATCTGAAAATCAAATGGTTCCTTCCCAATATTTTAAAGATATTTGTGGGAAAAAAAATAAAGATATTTGTGGGTTAAAATCACTTAAAAATAATAACCATGGTTTTCATAAAAGGAGATAAAATTGAACCATTTCAGTTGCATAAAAGGATATTTCATTTTATATGATAATTTTTAAAGGTTAATATAGCACAAGAGGATGGAAAAGTGATATAATAGTTTCAAATTAAAAGTTTTGTTCTTTCTGGAAAAATAAGAATTCTTGAAGCACCATTGTCCTCATTATCTTAAATTATTTGACACATGTATGCATGTTATACAATGCAAATTCATCGTGAGGAAAATTTTCTTGGCTCTCAACTTATAATTCTTCTATAAGTGCTCTCACTGTATTCTGTATATCTTTACCTCTTATAACCTTTGTGTCAAAAAGAGCCGTTAGAACATTTATTTTCATTAAGTTATATTCACTTTCTCTTTTACATCATGCCCCACATACCTAGAGATCTTGAAAATAATGAACAAAGAAAAAGAATCACATCTGCAGTTATCTAAATACATTATTTGTACCATGTCTTATAAATGAAGTCAAAGCTGCCTTGTAGATCAACTCAAAAGTTTTGAATTTGAAAAAAATATATGAATTTAATCGAGATCTAGCTGTTGAAACAAGTATTTTCTTTGAAAATATGATTATACTACATTAAGAAATCAAATAATTTTAGTTTAATTCCAATTTTTTTCTCTGATATAAACTCCTCTTCTAGCTCCATAAGAAGTTTGGAATACAAATTCTTGACAATAAAGGATACAATGATATATGTGAATTGGGATCTTTTGTTGACTCTTCATCCTTGTAATGGTTTTTGAATTCCTTTGGAATCCAAGTAGGTACATTTTATTTGAGATGTTCAACACATCAGCATTTATGTGATCTGAGCCCTTACCCAGGCTTTTTCCTGTCCCTATTAAAAGGGAAAAGCATATAGTCATTACTTTTGGATTTCATTTTAAGGCAAGAAGTCTAAAGAAGCATCCCAGTCTGAAAAGTAAGGATAGAACCAAAGTGTGAGAGCCAGAAGCAAATTAGATGGTTCTACATCAGGGCTGGAAAAACTAAGCAAAAACCACATGCAGAAGTGAACAATAAAGCAGAGAACAGAGAGCAGAGTCAGGAGAAAAAAAATTCCTCAGCAGTTAGGACAGTAACTCTCAAGCTTTCAAGCATGGTGGTGTTGATGGTTCAGCCAAGTAAGTGGTGGGCTGGAGATATATGAAAGCTGGAGCTTCTGATAACATGCTGCTAGTAACAGCATTCCTGAGCATTTGTTTGCCCCCAGCTATATTAAGTTTCTTGTACTACCAGACACTATGCCAAATAATGAAAAATATGAGCAAATATTTAGATTAAAAAATCTCATGAGGTAGGTGTTAACTATGTTTTTTACCAATTAAGAATTTTGAGAATTCACTTTCAGAAGAAAGCAACTAAGGAGTCAAGCAAATATACTACATTGAAACAACAACAAATGGCTGTTGATGCAATACATCTTTTACACAACAAAACACTGAATGAACCCTAAAACTTTTTTTCTTGTTCATTTTTACATAGAAATACACCTTTATTTTTTCCAGCTTTATTGATGTACGATTAACATACAAAAATTACATAATTTAGATTGTATGATGTGATGATTTCATATCTGTATGCATTTTGGTGTGATTGTCACAACCAAGTTGATTAACACATCCATCACTTCACATAGTTACTATGTTGTAACTATGTGTGCATTTGTGTGGTGAGAACGCTTCATATTTTTTTTCAGCATCTTCAATTCCTTTAATTTCTGTTCCCAGCAATCACCAAGCAAGCAGGCAGAATCTTTCATTCAATGTGTGCTGTACCCATTCTACATGGATCAGACATACCTGAAGCAGGAAGGGAATTTCACACTCATAGCCAAAAAGATCTCACTAGCCTTTGAGGATGGGTGTCAAGGGACATAATGTGGTTGTACAGTGTCCTAAAATTTGGCCAAGTCAACCATGAGTGTGATAAACACAACCTGCGGGGCCCATGGACACGCCAGGGTGGGATGTGGCACTAACGGTCTTATAGCAGCAGGTCCCTGGAAGCCACATGGAATGTTACCAGCTGCCCACTGTGCCTCAGAGGGCAGAGGCCACCCCTGTGGTCCCAGAGTCTATCACAGGAGAGTGTGATCAACACGACCTGGGTGAATGTTCTAGATGTTTAGGCAAGCTTCCTCTTGTGAACTCTTCAGTTTGAAGCACCATTTGTCTCACCCAGGTTTTGTTTGACACATAGTAGAAGCTGAAATATATATTTGTTGAAAAGAATATATATTTGATGAATGAAGATATGTCATATTCACTTCCAAGAGTCACCATATATAAATAGTATTGGCCAAAAAAAAAAAAAGCCAGATCAGAGCAAATGGAAAGAATATTAAAGAATGAGAGGATATTCCCCCTGAAGAGAGCACTACTCTGGGGATGGGAACATGAGAGCTTTCTAAAAAGCAAAGAAAGGGAGAGAAGTTAACATTTGTTGTGTATAAAGTGCTATGCACACAATAAATGAGATTTAATCTTCTCAAACTATCTGCGGTGTGTGTAGGGTTCTCTCCTTTGGAGAGGAGGAAACAGGTTTCTACCATGCCAGCTACTTCTGAGCAGAGGGAGGGAAGGGGGAGGGTGCAAAGGAGTTCCAAGTGGCCCCTTGTCGGGGAGACTGCGTCTCTCTCAAGGGGCTCTGCCGCGTGATGGGCAAAGGCTTCGCGGGGTGTATGCTCCTTCCCCACATCTCCCCCCGCGAGGTGCGCGTACTCATGCTCCTGTACTCGTCCAAGAAGAAGATCTTCATGGGCCTCATCCCCTACGACCAGAGCGGCTTCCTCAATGCCATCCCGCAGGTCATCACCACGCGCAAACAGGCAGTGGGCCCTGGTGGTGTCACGGGCCCGGCGCAGATCCTCAACCAGTTCCTAGCGTGGGGTGGAGTCATGGAGTGGCAAGAGCCCAGGCCTGAGCCCAACAGTCGGTCCAAGAGGTGGCCGCCATCACATGTCTACGTGAACCAAGGGGAGATCCTGAGGACTGAGCAGTGGCCAAGGAAGCTGTACATGCAGCTCATCCCACAGCAGCTGCCGACCACCTGGTACCCCTGTTTCGGAACTCGCTCCTGGTCCAGTTCCACTTCACCAAGGACCTGGAGACGCTGAAGAGCCTGTGCCGGATCATGGACAATGGCTGTGCCAGCTGCGTGCACTTTTCCTACAAGGCATCGTGCGAGGTGCGCGTGCTCATGCTCCTGTACTCGTCGGAGAAGAAGATCTTCATCGGCCTCATCCCCCATGACCAGAGCAACTTCATCAACGGCATCTGGTGTGTCAGCAGCAGCGTGGGATGGGGGGGGGGTAGTGGCCACCCCCAGGCTGGGCCCCTCCAGGAGTCACAGACGAGGCCCCCGCCAAAACTGGAAGTGATGAAGCTGTGGTTTCCAGGCTGGGACTGGAGGGCCCATGGGGTGCTGGGAGGCCCTGTCCAGGTCCTCCCACTCTCCTCCTGCCCCCAGGTCAGATGCTTCTGAGCAGGGGCCCCTGGGGATGACTACTGCCCAGCGAGATGGAGGACAGCGTCTGGAGAGGTCTCTGCACACGGTCCCCACCCCTGTACGTTTCCCCAATAAAGTCTTTTAAAAGCTAAAAAAAAAAAAAAAAAAAAAAAAAAAATCTCAGCAAGTTTCAAGTATAAGATATGCAATTATTAACTATAATCACCAAACTATACCTTAGATCCTGGAAATTATTCATCCTACAATGTAAAGTTTGGACTCTTTGACCTGAAGAGCTCTACATCCTACAGTTTCATCACATATATACAACCTAACACAACACACACACACACACACACACACACACACATAAATACTGACAAAATTTAACTGCCTCAAAAATATTTTTCAAACTTTATGCAAATTATGTGGATTCTGATAGTCAACTGTTTTGCAGAAGAAATTATTGAAGTTGATTAGACTACCAAAAGAAAAGCAGAGAATTCAAATATAGGTAAAGAAGAGAGGGAGAAAAGAGAAGGAAAAAATGAAGGGAGAAAAAGAAGGAGGGAAGGAGGGAGGAAGAAAATAAGAAGGTTTGAGGATGCAAGAACAAAACACAAGAGATAAAGGAATTTGCTGTATAGTGCTTTGAGAGACTACTATATGCTAAAAACTTTACACATATATGATCCTATCTCAAAACAATCTAGCAAAGCAAATTTGCACTTCCTATATTTTTAAATGAAGATAATGCAGTGAGAGGAGAGATTTACTCCAGGTCAAACAGAAAGTAAAAAAAAGCTTGATTCCAGTTTGGCTCTTGTGCTTCCAAAGCACCTGCCCTTTGCCACATGTAGCACTCTCAAGGGACTTTCCAGACACCTTCCTTTATTTTTTAACCGCTTCTGTTCCCTGACCTCATAGATTTGATGGTATTGATCACTTCCCCTCCCAGGCCTATGAAAACGTAAGTCAGATGGATCTCTTTTTGTTTCTCAATATTGGGAGAGAAAAATTTTAAAAGAAAGAAAGAGGGAGAGAGAGGGAGGGAAGGAGGAGGGAAGGGAGGGAGGGAGGAGGGAAGGAGGGAAGGAAGGAGGGAAGGAAGGAAAAAGAGAGAGAGACAATTCATAAGCCTTTGCTATCGTGGAGGGAACTGGTATAAAATGATATAAAAATAACAATATAATCTTAATAAAAGAAGAAAGAAAAGGCATTTCAGAAGAAAACACATAATTTCTGGGGTCTGTAGAATAGGAGTCTAAACTATGAAGGGGAATACACTGACTAGCACCAAATATGCAACTAACAGAAGTACCATTAATCATCTTTTTAAAATCCTCTTGTGGATCAATATTTTAAATTAATACAGCTCTCTCTGCAACAACAATTGAGCTCTGGATATTTGCCCTCAGTGAGGTAAAACCACCTAATGCCGTGCTTCCCCTCAGATGTCTAGCCCACATTCTTAGGTCCTGTCCTCTTCCGGACTTTCTATCTAAGCTGTTCACATAAGGTTTAATACCCACATTACTGTCTGCTTTGGCTAGTCAAAAATTGGCCCAATATCCCACCACAAACTTATAGGCCTGGGTTCTAAAAATAAACCAAATTTATGACTATTGTTATTCTCTTAAATTTTATTCAGTGTTGAAAATGAGTGTTAATTTGAAGTGGGTTTAAGAATCACGTTATATGTTTGTGAAGATTTCTTGAGAGAAGATTAAGTAGAGAGCAAGAAGAGATTGTTTAGCCTGGGAAGTGGGATCCCTTCCAGTAGGCCCAGAGTATTATGAAAGTCAGGAGAGAATCCTTTTTCTCTTTCTTCTTTGATATGGCTTACCAAACCTTTTCAATTAATCATTCTTCTTAAGAATGTACTTTTGAGTTTCATCCCTTGTTTGTAAATGTTTTTGTTATTTCATTAATTTTGATGACTATTTAGAGATACTTCCTACCTAGTAATATTTGCAGATCATTGTATTTTTCTTTCTAGGCTCTTAAATCAAAGTCTTATTTTCTTTAATTTTGTTACTTTTTTGTAATGTTTCATAGTATATTAATAAATATTTTATCATAAATAGAGCTATATATTCAGTCTAAAAGGCCATTTAGTATCTTCCTACACATTTAGATGCACAATGTTTTCAGTATTATTCCGTTAAAAAACATTAATTCCCATTCTACCTGATTTTTAAAACCATTTTATACTTAGAGGTGACATTTTTTAGTATCAATTGGATAGATATACTTTTGCTTCAATAATTTTTTGATTGTTTATTTCTGATGTAATTGTGTGTATGATAGCTTCTTTCTTATAAATTCTTCTAATTTTGTAATAGATTCTGAGACTTAAAAACAGACATAACTTGTAAATATTTTTGTGTTCTAAAATGATTATTTTGAGGGTTCTCTATATTATGTCTATAAAAATACTAAGAAAATGCTATGTGACATAAAACTGGTTTTGCAAGACACTGTATGTATGAATAATCACACTGGCTTTGACACTAGAAAGAGTTCTTGTGAATATGTATATTATAGATACTAATTTTACAAGTATTATTGCATATAGACCCCACATACAAGAATATATATAACAACATTATTCAGAGGTGAGGAAAATGGGTAACTAATCAAATGTTCATCAACAAAATAAAATATTAACACATTACAGTATATCACAAAAGAGGCTAAATAACAAAGTACAGTATATATAGTACATTATAATTGGATTTCAGAAAAAAATAAATGAGTAAATTTTTTTAAACATGACATATGCATGATGAATAAATCTGTAAAACCAGAAATGAACACAATATATAATAAAGGGATACATACATTTGTAAAAACTTTGTAAATGAAGAGCCTGATAAAAACAAAATCAAGCTAAAGTTTATCAATATTTGGGAGGCAGGAGTTGGAATTAGGAAGGAAACCATGGATTCAAGAGTTGTAGAAACTTTATCATACTTTGACTTCTTGTTTATATGCTTGTGCTTAATTATTATTATTTTTAAACTACCAAGATGTTACAATTATTCCTTTATATTTATAAGTCCTATAGAACTAAAATTTTGTAAATATTAATTGCAATAATTCTCAATAAATTATACTGATGTCTTACAATATCTATCAAATTAGATCTTTAAAAATTTTTAGTTTATTTTTTAAATTCCTATGTATATTTTTCTTTTTAAAGTTTAATATATCTTTTAATTTTTTTATTTTATTCTATTCTAATTCCAGTATAGTTAACTCATACTGTTATATTGTTACAGGCATACAATATGTGATTCAATAATTCCATACATTGCCCAATGCTCATCACCACACCTGAACTCCTTAATCACCATCACTTACTTCACCAATCCCCCACCCAGCTCCCCACTAAGAATCATTAGTTTTTCTCTATAGTTAAGAGTCTGTTTCTTGGTTTGTCCCTCTTTCTCTTTTTTCCTTTGCTTATTTGTTTTGTTTCTTAAATTCCACATAAGAGTGAAACAATGTGGTATTTGCCTTTCTCTATTTTGCTTAGCATTATACTCTCTAGCTTTATCCATGTTGTTGCAAATGACAAGGTTTCATTCTTTTTATGGCTGAATTATATATGTATAATTCTCCTTTATCCATTCAATGGACACTTGGGCTGCTACCATAATTTGACTACTGTACATCATGCTGCAGTAAACATAGGGGTGCATGTATCCCTTTGATTTAGCGTTTTTACATTGTTTGGGTAAATACCCATCAGTGTGACTACTGGCTTAAACGGTAGTTCTATATTTATTTTTAACTTTTTGAGGAAACTCCATACTGTTTTCCCCAGTGGCTGCACCAGTTGACATCCTCAACAATAGTGCATGAGGGTTCTATTTCCTCCACATCCTCACCAATGTTTCTTTCTTAGATTTTTTATTTTAGCCATCTTGACAGATGTGAGGTGATATCTTATTGTAGTTTTGATGTGGATTTCACCCATAATGGGTGATGCTGAGCATCTTTTCATGTGTCTGCTAGCCATATGTATGTCTTCTTTGGAGAAATGTCTGTCTATGTCTTCGCCCCATTTCTAATGGGTTGTTTTTTGGGGATTGAGTTGTATCAGTTCTTTATATATGTTGGATATTAACTCTTTATCAGATATGTCATTTACAAACATCTTCTCCCATTCAGTAAATTGTCTTTTGGTTTTGTCGATTGTTTCCTTTGCTGTGCAGAAACTTTTTATTTTGATGTAGTCTCAGTAGTTTATTTTCAGTTTTATTTCCCTTGCCTTAGGAGACATATTCAGAAAAATATGACTTTAGAGAAATGACTGCTTGTGTTCTCTTCTAGGATTTTTATGGTTTCAGGTCTCAGATTTAGGTCTTTAATTCATTTTTAAAAATATTTTATTTATTTATTCATGAGACACACACACACACACACACAGAGAGAGAGAGAGAGAGAGAGAGAGAGAGAGAGAGAGGCAGAGGGAGAAGCAGGCTCCATGCAAGGAGCCTGATGTGGGACTCAGTCCTGGGTCTCCAAATTCACATCCTGGACTGAAGGTGGGGGCTAAACCACTGAGCCACCAGGGCTGCCCTCTTTGATTCATTTTGAATTTATTTTTGAGTATGATGTAAGGCAGTGGTCCAATGTCATCAAATTAGATTTTTTTTAAACATTGCATAAAAGTAATCACATACTTTTAAAAAGGTAAACATAAGGCATGATGATTTAATATTATTAAAAATTAAAATTTTTAAAAATTAATCAGGAAAATATTAACAAAAATGGAAATAGATTTTATGCATAGACAAATGCATATATCTACCTGTATGTATGTGTATGTTGAAAGAGCAACACATTTGCTTTGTAATAAAAACAATTATCCATCAAAATACTTAACATTTGTGAAATTATAGTAAGAGGAAGTCATAATTAAATGTATATTCGAGAATCTTTTTTATATTTTTGTGAGCAATTCAAGTTTCTTCATCTGTGTATCACCTCTTCAAATATAGAGGACTTCCTGTTCCTTATTTGGT